GATTACAGGTCAGTGCATCTCTCCTTTTTACACACAAATAATATAGCTTTTTTTGACACACATTTGATGATCACATTTTAAATGGATCAGGACTTGACCAGAGATACAAGCACAAGTACAATGGCTATCCAAGAAGGCTATATTCCAAACATAGCCCAAATATGCTTTGTCTTTCTTGTTTGCAGTGATGGAGTTGAAAAGCAGCCGTTGGCTGTTGTGGGCTCCCCCTACTGGATGGCTCCAGAAATGTTAAGAGGAGAGCTGTACAATGAGAAGGTATCCTGCCTTTGAACACTAGCAAATCAATATCCAACTCTACTTGTGTGCATGTGTAATTTTATTCATATAATTTTTATACCATAGGTGGATGTTTTTTCATATGGAATAATCCTTTGTGAGATTATTGCTCGAATTGAGGCTGACCCAGATATCCTCCCACGAACAGAGGTACATCTCTCACACCACCACATGAAGCACAGAATCAACCACAAAATCATGTAGCTGGTTTACCAGACATAGATCAAGCCTAAAAAAAAATCTGTGCAAAATTACTTTAATAGCTAATAATTAATAGCTAAATTGAATCTAGGACAAGCCTTAAGCCTTTGATATGTTTATATTTCATATGTTATGATAACTGAAATGCTAATGATAACTGGTATGATAAATGTTAATGATAACAGGTAATGATAACTGAAATATTGATATTCTGCAATTGTATTAAAACTCAAAATGTATCTGTCATATTAAAACAATCAAATTAATGCAAAAATAATTAGATTATTTTGGTTTTGTTTTATTTGCTCCCATGTTTGTTTGTTTTCTTAATATGAAGTGTGTGCATATGAGTAACCATATAATGTATCCAGATCCAATCTAAGAATCCACTGATGTTACATTTTTCATGACCACTACAGTTTAGACTTTGATATCAGTATCTAATTTTTAGAGTGTTGCCTCCCTCTGCTAGATTTTTCATATGTAATTACTTTGTAACATTTTTAGAAAGCAACACAGTGTTCATTATTGCAAAGCTCAAGATTAATCAAAAGATTAATGTGTGAAAAGATGCCTGAGCAGAGCAGTATGTGTGTAACATCATCTGTCTATTTGTCTTTAGGATTTTGGACTGGATGTGGACACCTTTGAGCAAATGGTGGGAGACTGTCCACCTTCATTCCTTCACCTGGCTGTTAGTTGCTGCAGTGTAAGCCACATATGCATATATACACTCGTATACAGAAATTCAGAAACACTGAGTATAGTACGGTATGAAATGGCACATGTCATGCACTCAGTTGTGTTTTTAATTTGTTATCCTCTTTCTGTGGTAGATGAGTGCAGAAAGTCGTTCTGCCTTCTCTGAAATAGTACTGACACTTGAGAGGATAGAGAGAGAGAGGAAGATGAGTGAAGCTCCAGTCATCCTTGGTAAGTATGTTAAAGATAACATTTTTACAACATTCACCAAGAAATAATTTTTCAGTTTTACTAGTCTTTAAACAACCCATTCTTGTT